TGGTTACCAAACAGGCTTGATGGTAAAAATATCGTAAAATTAACAAATAATTAAATAAGTTACCAACGTAAGAAATGACTTATTAAAAGATTCTTAGGCTATATATGATTTGATTTTTAGATTTTTTTTTTTAAAATTAAAAATTAATTTGGTTAAGAAATAAAAAATAAAAAATAATTATCAAACCATACATAGCCTAAATTCTTAGGCTATGTACCACCAAACACATAATATTTTTTACTTTTTTATTTTTTATTTCTTAACCAAATTAATTTTTAATTTTTTTTTTAAAAATTAAACCATACATAACCTAAGAATCTTTTGATAAGTCATTTCTTAGGTTGGTAACTTATTTAATTATTTGTTAATTTTACGACATTTTTACCATCAAGCCTGTTTGGTAACCATTTCGTTTTCAATTTTCAATTTATATTTACCAAAATAAAAAAAAAATTTGTCATAAAAACTTGTTTGATAATTTTTTGGTTTATAAAAGGTTGTCTCGGTTTGTAAATTTGAGAAAAAAACGTAAATTCAAAAAATGAGCTTACGTTAGTTTTTAAATAGAAATTTAAAAACTTTACTAACAATTTTTTTTTTCAATTAATTTTTTTTCCAATCAATTTTTTTTTTCAATGAATTTTTTTTCCAACTAATACTAACCAAGGAAGCAATTGGTAATGCTACTTTAAACCTTAGGGAGGGGATTCTAATTTCTAAAATGTGAGAGGTGTCAATGTAATTTACCCAATGAGGGCAAAATTAGTATTTAAAAAAATTAAATTGCTGAAGGGGGGAATCTGTAATGAAACTTTAAACCTCAGGGGGAGAGATGTAATTTCCAAAAGGTGAAGGAAAAATTATAATAAATATAAACCTTAGGGGGCATCTGTGTAATTTATCCAAAAAAAAAAAAAAAACCTAGCCACTTTTCATATGCTCTATAACAGTACACTTTATTTCAGTTATTAATATTTTGTCATTCTTTCTTTAAATTTAAATTATAAACTTTTGTTCAAATGTGCCTCTATTATTATAAGGTTGTTGCAATAGGTTTTTTTTTTTTTAATAATTAATTAGCCAAATTAGTTAAAAATATAAGATAACTAGGCTTCCAAAGACGGTCCAGGTTAAATTGGACCCATATCTATAAAATAAAGGAAAATATTAAGAACAGTCTTAAGAACCATTATTAGTATTGAAAAAGTGCGTGTTGAATTGTAAAACTATTTTGGAATATATGAAAAATATAGGGGGAATTACTATCCATTAGAGAGAAGAAAAAAAATTATAAACACATTAGGAGTGCAAGTGATTCTATAGTAGAGTGCAAGTGAAAATTTGTAGGAGTGCAAGTCTCACTTGCACCCTTCCATGAGACTTGCATCCCTTCATTCTGTTTTTTTTCTTTTGTTCCACCGGGTAATAATTCCTTCAAAAATATATTGAGATTATATTTTTTTTAACCTTTTGTGATGCTTATTAACCGCCCTTAAAATTGTCATTATTACCAGAACCCTAGAGTGAAACATGAATAATCGTAGTCACTTACAAATTGTTAATGTATATGTGGTATTTCTAGATATACTAGATATTGATTTCCTAGATACATTTAGGAATAGTTATAGTTAGGTGTCTTATAGGATACCTTTTCTCATAGTTAGATTTTTAGTAGGATACTATTTTTCAGTCTATATATACAGGCTTTCTATTGTATAGAATTAATTAATACATTGAATACAATACATATTATTTTCTCTCTGTCTACTATTCTAACACAAACCACACACATCAATTAAAATCAAGTACAACACATTAAAGTCAAATTTAAGGTTTTTTTTTTTGGATGGTGAATTTGTCTCCACAAGAATTTAGCTTGACGATGTGCTTCGTCTCGGTCTTCCCTGCAAGAAAAATCCCAAAGTTAGAGGCCTCTTAGACTTATATTGATCAAGAGACCTTCCGATGATTAAGTCAAACCTAAGATTAAATATAATTAAATTGAATGGACAAGTACCTTGTCAAAAGTTATTTTGTATAGGTCGGTTAGATTGTACTAATTTGAACTGATCATGGTAATTGTCTCCTTTTGATTTTCTTTATAGCCGAACGAGCTTCGTTCTCAAGTATTGGGATGACATCACCTTTTGGGGCCTGTTTGGGTCTAAGTCGCCTTGGCCAATTTTTTATCTTCCACAAATTCCTTTACCAATGGTAACCTGGTTATCATTAATATGTGTTTGGTTGAGGGATTTGAGAAGAGATTTGGAAAGGGAAATAAAAAAGATAGGTGAAATGTGAAAAAAAAAATACATATATTTCACATAGTTTCACACACCTTTTCCCTTTCCCTTTCCATTTCCAAATCTATTCCCAAATCTCCCAACCAAACACAGCATAAAAGCAAAGTAAGGTATCTAAAAGTTCTACTCAAAAAATATATTTAAGTTGTGGTTAGATCGTAAATTTATGTAAGAATTAAAAAAAATAAATAAAAGATTTAATTTATATTTCGTTTACATTACTCTCACATTTTATTTTATTTTATTTTTTAATCCAAATCCATAACATAAACATAACTTTAAAAAAACCATTGCTTGGATTTAAATGAGAGTTTTCATTGTACAACAATTAAATTTAACAGCATGGCTACATATACATAATTTGCTTTGCTTGAATGCACAAAGTTAAAAATAATTTGTGTGAATGAATCATTGATCTAAATTTAAAATGCAGATCAATTTTCTAATAAATTTTTAGATAACGTTTTTAGATTCTTGACTTTTGTATCATTGAACTTAAAACAATGAATGATGAGGTGCCACTTTATCCCTTCATTCTAAGCAAAAAAGAAAAAAAAAAAAAAAGAAAAAGGAAAAAACAAACTATTTTTAGCTTAATTTTATATTTTCTAAAATTATAATTTTTAAAAATTTTCTTTTCATCTCGTCAAGTAGAATCTAAAAATTTACTCCTTTTTTTTTTTAATTTTATGTTTTTACTAAAAATAAAAATATACCAATAAAACAACCACAAAAAAGCAAACCTAAACACCAAGTAACTTCAAATTTAGAGTACCAGTGAGTCCCACAATATGCTAGAAATACTTAAAAATGCGTGGACTAGATGATGGTGGATCCCTTCTTATAGAGTAGGTTAAATTTGACTGGTAATCGATCACTTCGGAGTCAGGATCCGCGGATGCTGTGATGCCCATGAAACATCCTCTTTTTTGTTTATAAAAAAAAAAAAAAAAAAAAAAATCTAAATCCTTCTTTTCTTCTCATATTTTGATTATTACACTTGAACCCCTAGTTTGGTTACTTTGTTTAATTGCACTGGAAACCTCTCAATTTTCTAGTTTTTACGATGTCTCTGGCTTTTGATAAGTGTGACACAAAACATCATCTTTTTTTTTTGAAAAAAAAAATAAAAAACACCACACCCTTCTTAACTTTGACGCTAGCTATGGTTCCTATGTGCCTAAGTAATTTTTTTTTCTTTTTCCTATGTGGCCTAAGTAATTTTTTTTTTTTTTTTTGGCCATACGAAAGGATGTTATGAATTAATAAATTAAATTATAACAAAAAAATCGTAGTGACTTTATTCACTCAAATTCTAAATTTCTGACATTGTCTTAAGACAACTATATAAACCACTTGCCTAGCTGCTTACTTAGAGAGCCAGAAAATTGGGCTTCACCCGCACTGCATAACATCCAATCAAGGCTGATTTTCATCCAAGTTAATCATCCTTGTTTCCCGGGGAAAAAAAAAGAAAAAGAAAAAAAAAGCGGGGTATGAGCCCAAATCATGAATCATAATCATTCATTTTATCCTACATGATTGTCTGTCTCTATTTGAAAAAAGAAAAAAAAAAAAAATACAATCATTGGAAATTCACATATAATTAAATAAATATGATTATTTTGGATCAAAAGGACAGAATTTGAGAAATGGGTCTATAATTTTGCCTAAATGTCATATGAATAAGATTGAATTTGATATATTGCTTCCGTTTGGGAAGTGAGTTGGCTTTTTGACTTTTTGGTTTTTTTGACTATTTTAGCCTGAGCTAAAAAGCTTAGTTTGGGAAGAGTTTTTTGACTTTTTTGAATTTTTTTGTGAGAGAGGAGTGTAATGATTATGTGTTGGATGTAATGTTTTGTTTGTTGTGGTTAAAATAGTTTATTTATCTTTTGTGGCTAAAATAGCCTCAAACCTCCTTGCCAAACGGAGTCAACACAGCACAATGAGATCGACCACACAGCACAATGAGATCGCCACAACGAAGAGAAATCGAGATCGCGGAGACGAAGATTTGATTTCCTTTTTTTCAACGAAGCAAAAATTTGATTTCTCACGTACATATAGATCTCAAAACAAAGGGTAACACAGTCATTTAAAAATACGAAAATAAAAAACGGGACCTCTGGGTATAAAACTAAAAAAACTGTGGACCTATTAAACTATTAAAAATAAATTGGGATTAGAAGGGAAATAGATCCCCTACATAGGACTACATGGTAATTTTTCCAAAGAAAAAAAAAGCAGGGTATGAGCCCAAATCATGAATCATAATCATTCATTTTATCCTACATGATTGTCTGCCTCTATTAAAAAAAAGAAAAAAAAAATTACAATCATTGGAAATTCACATATAATTGAATAAATATGATTATTTTGGATCAAAAGGACAGAATTTGAGAAATGGGTCTATAATTTTGCCTAAATGTCATATGAATATGATTGAATTTGATATATTGCCTCCATTTGGGAAGTGTGTTGGCTTTTTGACTTTTTTGACTATTTTAGCCTGAGCTAAAAAGTTTGGTTTGTGAAGAACTTTTTAACTTTTTTGAATTTTTTTGTGAGAGAAGAGTGTAATGATTATGGGTTGGATGTAATGTTTTGTTTGTTGTGGCTAAAATAGCTTATTTTGTCTTTTGTGACTAAAATAGCCTCAAACCTCCTTGCCAAACGGAGCCAATCCATATGAAATTGTAAGATGAATTTAGGTCACATATTAATATTTTTGAATAAATTTAAGATAATAATCCCAGATAACTTAATCTTGACAAGATGCATGAAAATCTCAATGAGAGAGAGAGAGAGAGAGCACTGCCTCTATCCTGGCAGTATGCGTACACCCTTGACAAAATCATGAAACAACAAACTTAAACAATTCAACCAAAGCGATCAGAATAGCTACAAAATGAGAGAGAGTTCCAGATGAAGATGTTTCCGAAACAGTGCCAAATGGCGGGGAAAAATACGTGGTTGGCGGTGCAGCGGTGGTACTAGTGGTGGTGGTGTTGCCGGGTGATGGTGCTGCGGCGGTGGTGGCTCCTCCAGTGACATTGACAGTTAACTTCATGCCAGAGGCACAGTGGCCAATCACACCACAGATGTAGAATTGAGTCCCAACAGCATTGAGAGCAATGGTGGTGGACCCACTGTTGTATGTTTTGATCGAATTTCCTAAAGTGCAAGTGTTGTAGTCACTTTCACTCACTTCATCCACTGTGTGCCCACTTCCATAATTAAACACTACATACAGAAGATGATTCAATCATCACATTAGGGCTTTGAGGATCAATAAACACTTCATAATTATGTGATGTAACTATACTAAATTGAGAATCGAGTCACAAGCAAATTTTATAATTGAAAAGTCTAATTTAAAGTTGAATAGGGTAAAGTAATATTTAATGATTGTCAAGAAGGGGTAAGTGTAATTAACCAATTTTCAAAATCATTGGTTATGAAAAAGAACATATCTTCTGATATTTAAAACCATGTTGAGTTGTTATATGTGTTTGTTCAAGAAAGTAATAATTGTGTTTAGACAGAAATGAGTTAATAGAGAGAGCTAAGAACTCACCAAGGCTGTCACCAACCATGAAGGTCTTCCCACTTGTCCAGTTGGTGTAATCAACACCCAAGGTCCAGCCACTCGAGTCGCCGACAGTGAAGACTGTGGCCAAACAAGGCACTGTTGAGCACAAAACTAAGAGCAAACATACAACTCCGGCACCGGAACTTGCCATTGTGTGTATCTGTATATTAATTTTAGAGAGAGAGAGAGAGAGAGATGACAAAAGGGGACGTGGGTGTACCTTATATAGGGGTATAAAGGGGATTGAGTAAGTAATTGTTTGGCTATATATATATACTAATTATTAATCCAATAAAGTGCAAGGATGTAAAGGAACTCGTCAATTACCTGGAGGATGACTTGAGTCGGACTCTATACCTAATGCTTCCAATTAAAATGGGTGCTGATGATTCTTTTGGTTTTCTTTATTTTTAATTTCACTTTGAACGCTGTTGAAAAAGGATTTATCCTATAGTAATTATAATACTTTAGAAACTTGTATAGGTAATGCATGTACGATGCTTGTAAAATAAGCTTTCAGAATGGTATTTTGTAGGGGGTAATTCTAATTGAAGGCCACATATATCCTCTCATTACACGCCATTTCTCAATTTATAATACAAACAATTTAATTTTTTTATTTAATTTTTTGATATTCTTCTCTATTCACACCACCAATTTCCTATAATATTCTTACCTTCAACATTTCTTTCCATTTTTTTAAACCTATCCCTAAACAACCACTCATTATTGTTATCTTTGGCATCAGTGCTGCTTCTTTTCATCTCTGTTGCTCTATCGCCACCTCTTTACTAGCTCCCCTACCTTTCTTGTTGCCTCCTCTTCAAATCCCAACACCACGGCACATCACTACCACCACTACCACCACAAACTAGGCACCTGAACCATCACAATGATCCTCCATCCAGTCTTTTCCCACCTCATATATAAGGTTTTCTAGAGAGAAAAATGAGAAGAGGAACGAAGAAGACAACAACCACCCGTACCTAGATCTAGGGTTTTCAAAGGAAAAGAAAAAAGAATGACGAGGGAGGGGCGCAGTCAAGGTTTTAAAAAGCGGCCGCAACCGTTACGTAACGGTTATGGTAGTTATCGCCACCCGTTACGGCCGCTTTTGCAGTGTGATTGAGATTCATAGGTATATCAGCCATAGCGGCAGCTATAGCGGTCGTAACGGTGCTGTAACGACCTGTTACGCACCGTTACATAACGGTTCCGAATTGCTTATTTCGGAAAAAAACACAAAAAAAAAAAAAGTTGAAAATGGGGGAAGAGAGATAGAGAGAGAAGAAGGAAGATGGAAGAACAAGAGATAGAGAGAGAGAAGAGGAAAGATGAAGAACATATTATTGATTTGTTAAAGTTGTAAGACCTATGCAATTCTATTCAGCTGATATCACTCAACTATTTTGTTTGTGTGTGTCTATCTATATATTGTTTAATAATAATAATAATAATAATAATAATAATAATAATAGGTGTGATCATTATCTATTTGGCTTGATTAAAAAATATATATATATATATATTTAGGCTCTTACTTATTTTCTTACTTTTGTTATTGTTTATCTTATATATAATTGTTAGTGATTGATTTTTTATATAATATAAAGTCATTAATTATTAAAATAAAATGTAAAAAACTCAGTTTATAGTGATTTAAAAATATGAAATATATTGGATCAAACTTAAAAATTTATAAATATTGATCAATATTTTATTTTAAAACCCAATAAATATGATCATGGAAAAAAAATGTGCGTATGGATAATTTTTTTTTTTAAATTGTGCGAAAAATAAAAAATTCACGATTCCGGTTACCGCAACCGTTACTCTACGGCCTTTACATTCCGCAATCGCAACTGCGCCACCGCCACCGTTACGGCGACCGCAATCGCTTTTCAGAACCTTGGGTGCAGTGATTTTGTAGAAGCGAAAAGGTATATCGTTGAGGGAAGTGAGAAGTGGCAAAAGGAGGTGATAATGAAGGGTGGGAGACGTGTTGTGAGGTGCAAAAAGGTGGAGAAAAGAGTTGGGGGCTGGTGGGGAGCTGACAACAAGATTTGCACTGGCAACAACTAGTGAAAAGGTTTGGATTGATATATCTTTACGATAATTTCAGTGAGGGATAGAATTGTATTTAAATTTTTTTTGAAAAATAATATGTATTATGAGTTAAATAAGAAGGTAGTTAGTGTACTCTCATCCAATAAATACAACACGAGTCTCACTCTAATATTTATAATTCATTTATTTTATGAACTCTTGCATCTAGATTATCTATTAAAAAAAATATACTAATCAAATAACTTCATCGACATATTTGATTTCAAAAAGATAAGAGACTATTTTTCAAACTATAATTATGAACACAGTTGAATGAGTTAAGTTACAAAAACGTGACATTCCGACTGAATAGTGACACTAAAAAACCACACACATCTACTTCCACTTGGATTTTCTAAACCTTTGTTTTTTTTGAATACCAGACTTATGCAAAAATATGCGATGAAATTTTTAGTATGCTTTGAGATTATGTATGGATCAAATCATGATTTTTAACAGCTCATAAGCCGCAAGATTCCAGGATGATATCCGAATGCAGCAATCAAACAAAGAGACAATTTCATAGATAATCAACTAATTATCATCCTAAAATGTATATGATGCAAAGCACATTTGCCTCTTTCAGTCTATCTGACTTTCCAGGATGATCCTGCAGAACAGGACAGAAACTTAGAAAAACACACTTTTTACAAACAACAATTGTGGTGTCGCTCTTCCAAGGAAATGCATTTTCTTTTAAATGCAATGAATACCGATAAGATGTAAGATTTTAAAAACATGAAAATAAAATTGAAGAAATGCAAAATAAAATAAAATCTTATTTTACTTCTTATACATTCTAGACTCGGGGGAGTAATGTTGCAAGGATGACAGAGGCTTTCTTGGAGAATCAACATCAGTGAAATCAATTTTGCCCTCAATTGGACTCCACATTGTAGGGCTAGATTTTCTCTTGTTCCCCTGCATAGAGGGAACATAAATCATGTTACACCATTTCGGCATGCAAATGAAGTTAGGAAAACACACTATTCTTGCAAAATTCTTATACAGAATTCTGTATCAGAATGATGTGGCAGTGACATTTTTGTAATTAACTTTGTCTTAAAATAATAAGTCTGTACACGAATTTTGTATACATTTTATGTTCATATGTCATCACTTATGCTATGTTTGGTTGGAGAATTTGAGGAGGGATTAGGAAAGGGAAATGGAAAAGGTAGGTGAAATGTGAATAAAACATGCCTAAATTTCACTTAGTTTCACACACCTTTTCCCTTTCCCTTTCCAAATTCCTCCCCAAATCCCCTAGCCAAACACAACATTAATGAGTTATTATCTCCTCTTTCTCACCTTGGCAGAAGCACTGCTGGTATGTTTTTCACCAGAACCAGTATGGCACCTTTCTTTGTGGTGCCTCACCAACCTTTTATTCTCCTTATCCAGTATTTTGTTTTCTTCAAACAACACTTTCACCTAAGCATTAAAAATAAACAAAATAAAATGATTCCTTTACTACTAATATGCCATAATAACAAATAAAATAAGCAAACAAGTATGCTGCTTACCTCCTCTTCGGCCCTAGCAAGGTTAATCCTCAAATGCTCCTTATCTTTCTGTAGAGTTTTGACTTCAGCGGCCAATGCCAGAACTTTATGAGTTGAAGGCCTCAGACTACCCAAGGTGCAAAAGAAAATTTCAGTAGAGGAAATTTCAGAGTTGACAAAACTCAAAACCTAGAATTTTGCTACACTTTGTGATAGGGAATTCCATGTAGATATCTATTTCTCATAATAATAAAAATTGTCCAACTAATAGAGATAATAATCTAACCTATTCCACATTTTGAGCAACCTATGGCACACATCCAGTCCACTATTTGCTTCTAAAAATGCATGTGCAGTTGGTGCAGATTCGTTGTTGCCAACCGAAGTTGTGATTAATGACTCAAGTAAAAGGTGTTCCGTAGCTGAACCTTCTGCAGACGAATCAACCTTTAAGATACAACAGTTCAGATGACCATCAGCCTTCACTCGATAATGCATCAACCCATCAATTTTACACAAGTAATCAGCACAGTGCAACAGTCAAAAAGGTAAGGGAAGAAAGAAAAATAAAAGAACACCTTATAGAATGGATTTGGTTCACAACCTGAATATGGGAACCACCTGTTTCACTTGGACTGAAGTTCATGCCTCACACACACTTAAGTTCCTATGAAGCTTAATTATATATTAGCATTGACAGAGTAAAATATCTATGCCACCATTTTATCTGCACAAGCTCTCAGTTTCAAAAGAGAAAGAACGTGGAACAACCTGTGTAATTCCAGTATGAAGTTCATGACTCAAAACACCCAAGTTCTTGCTGCAACTTAATTACATGTTAGCATTGACATAGTAAAATAACCATGACAATCATCAAAAGGGAAACAAATTAAAAATGAAAAAGAAAATAGTAAACTATGTATAATATTTTGTTGTTCACTTTAGATAGATAAAGAAGTAATTTCTTATGTTCCAAGCACCATGATACTATGATATTTATCACATTAAAATTTTTTAAATCAAATTAAGAGTGACTTGGAATTAAAGTTCATTTATCAAGAATATTTAAATACTAGAAATCCTAGATTGGACAAACCCCACATTTAAGTTTCAATCGGACCAAACAGGGAGAAATTCAAGTTCCATTTTCCCAATATGCCAGACAAGAATATAGTTTGCACTAAATCTTCCTACACACCTATCATTAACCAAAGATTTCACAGCAAGACATACTTCAGAGTATGATAATTTTACAGTGACATCCTAAAGAAAGATTTAAGGGGCTGGTACAGCAGTCCACATGTTATCTAATACTAAAATCCATATGTGAAAAGGAACACGAATCCATTTTTTACACTTATCAATATGGTGCAACCTCCATTGAAAACATGCATCAAAAAACAGATACTCTTGTAAAATGTATTGTGGCTATCAGTACAAGGAATTTGTATATAATGCACAATGCATGCCGTGTGTACTGTATTTGGAGATATACGACATAATTCAAAATGAGGTAGCAGCGTAAGCATTAAATGTTTTCACATGTATGGTTTTGCCCATAGAAAGGCAACCGCCTTGGTACTAATTGTATGCAACCTAGAAATCACTCATTCTGCCTCTTAAGAAACAAAACTCTCAATCCTTCTCTCTACTCTCTAGGATTTCCTCACTTTTTGGATCTCTTAATATTTTCTCTTCATATACAAATTTTGCACCCAATAATTATCTTGTTCCAAAAAACCAAAAAAACAAAAAAAGAAGAAGGAAAAAACGTGTCAAACAACTCAACATCTTGCTGCTACCAATAAAAAAGGAAGTAACTATTTTTTTTTAAAAGCAAGTAATAAGGTCTTACAAGTAAAGCCTTTATAAAACATGGAATGGTATTACATTAAGAAAACAATAAAACATTTAGGGATGGTTTGGGATGATCTAAATAAGTGCACTTTTTGACTTTTTATGAAATATTGGTTGGATATGTGTTGGGTTTGAAGTGATCTGTTAGAGAGGTGATGTGACTTAAATAAGATGATGTGACTTAAATAGGATAGTGACTTTTTGATTTTTTGACTTTTTTAGATCATGCCAAACAAGGCCTTAAACAGAAAAGTAGTACTTGTACAATCTATTATTATTCAAACAGCCAAACATTGCGGTGACTGAGCATTAAACTCCAGTGGAAAAACAAGAATCTATTGTGCTACAAGAAGCAGCATTAAATTGGAGTAAAATGAAGTCACATCTTAACAATAGAACTTCTGGATGCAAGAAGCTGAAACAACTAAACAAGGATCACTAACAGAGCTCCTAAGAATAAATGCATTACACTGAATGCACTTGAAAAACTCAACAGAATTTTGATTTGTGTTGCCTCAATGTGAGAGAAAATATTCACCAAAGATGTTAATGGAGCTATTTTATTAGATTTCACTAGTGACTAATTCAAATAGTCCATTACCATACAGCAAGCATGATAAGAAAAGTTTTCCCTCCACTAACCATCCTTCACCCATTCCCTAATTCAACTAATCAAATTGGTTAGATAATTTTACTCTATTATTCTTTCAATCTGAAGAGAAAGACAACTGAATCAAAATTCTGAGCAATCTACTAGAAATGGAAAAAAAAATTAATTGTAAATTAAAAATAGCCAATACTATGTATGAAATAAGAAAAAAAATATGTTTACCAGGTTCATCTCACACCGATGCTTGTAGAACTGCATTGCTTCTTTCACCCCTCTCAACTCCTCCTCCATCTCATGAACTCGAGTCTCAGCCTCCTTCGCACGTTCATCGGCTTCATTTGCAAAATCCATCAATACTTCTCGATCGCGATCATACAATGAGCATTCCTTCTCCCACCTCGTACACTGACTCAAAAGATTCGAGCACTCCATTGCCAATTTCTGATTTTCCTCCACAAATTTCTTCAAGGCTAGAGCATTCATACTCGATTCAGCCTAAATTCAATCAACAACAAATACACCAACATCAACCCTAACTGAACTCATAAGGTATAGGTAAAAAAAAAGAAAAAAAAGAAATCAATTTATTGGCAGAAATGGAGAGAATATAAACCCTAGCACGTTCTATGACGTCATCTTTCTCTTTAATTCTCATCTGAAGATAACAGTTCTGGTCTCGAAGACGCTCACGGGCTTCTTGAGACGCTTGAAGCTTCGACTCCAGAGTATGAGTTGAAACAGGGAGGCCAAGGGAGTACTCGATCGATTCTTTGATGTAATCGTCGATTTCTTGTGAAAGATCCATTCTTTTTTTTTTTTTAAACCCTAAAAATTGACAGTGCTTCTTTGTTTTTGCAATGGGTTTATAGAGACCCAGAAGGTAAAGTAAATTTATGGAAGAAATGTAATGAAGATTTGAATGTCAAGTATGTCTTTGCAACTTTACGAAGTCCGAAAATGGGGATTACCGATTGAGAGGGGTTGTGAACTGAAGAGAGAGGGCAAGAAGGAGGGGGGGTTTGGTCTGAAATATTTTTTATATTTTTTGGAGAGTTGGAATTGTTGGGGTAGCCGTTAGAATGCGTCCACTATTTGAAATCGATGGGTACGGATTGAGGAACCGGTTACCTGTCCTAATATTTGTGTTAGAAATTGAGGGCAAAATATACTTTCAAATATGCTTGGTGTCTCGAGAGATGAGTCTCTCTATTTACAGACCATTTTTTATTTTAAAATATATTATTATTCAAGATATACTTTTAGTAATTTAATAAATATAAAATTTGTTCAATGCACACTACATATATTCCATCTTTATCCTTACTAACACACTCCACCTACATCTTCCATCTTCACCTTACTCATTCAAACATCCCATCCACGATCTTTCATCTCCTCCTTTATTCTCTGTTTCATCAAGGACGCCAGTGGTGAAGACCCATTCTTCTCCATTCTTTGTTTCATCAAAGACGCTGGTGGAAACAACTCTACATTAGAGATATAGTAGGTAAAAATTCTCATTTTGCTTCGATTTGAGGGTTTTATGTATGTTTTTCTATTGCCATGAGCATTGTATATGAATGTTTGATTTTGTGAACTAGTGACATTGTATATGAAAGTTTGATTTTGCGAACCGTTCGACATTGTTCTGTCGAACATTAACCTTTTGTCTAGAGTGTTTCTGTCAAATAAATTCAATATGTTTGACATTTTAGTGGCGAGCTTAAATAAACTATTCGGACTTAGTCTGTCGAACAATTTCAATATGTTCGAAATTTGAGTGTCGAACAAAATTGAATGGTCCAACTCTGTACTTCCAAACGGACTTATCATTTACTATTTTCTCTTTGATTTTCAGAAATGGTTGATCCTTTGCGTATTCCACCCACTGCGTATATTTTTGGTTGTTTCTTTAAGGGTTTTTGGTTTTTGTCTTAGGGTTTTTGCATTCTTGAGAGAGAAGATACGTAAGTAACGTTTGAGATACTTGGTGTGTATTGTATTTATTATTGTCCTTTATGGTAATTTTACAAAAAGTGCGCATCATAGCCCTTTGTTCTTTGTGGTCATTTTACATAAGGTTAATATTGTAATAAAAATTAAACCAATTAATGGTGTGCCTTTAGATGAAAGGTGGTGTGTAAATAAAGGCACCCTCGAGAGATAGAGGTGTGAATGGCTCGAATCGTCCTCTCTCTGAAATAAAACGTGGCCTCTCTCTCTCTCTCTCTCTCTCTCTCCTTTATTCAAATCCAAAACTGAAGCAGCTCTTTTCTCATTCCTCTCGAAACAGCTCAGGTTCTCTCTTCCTCTCATCTCTCTCGTCTTTTTGCTCCATGTCACCTCTCTTGCCTGTGTGTCGTTCTCTCCATCGTCTTTCATCAAACCGCTAGAGCCTTCCTCACTGTATTGACGTCGGCAAATCACCAGAGCCCTCCTCACCGCTGCTGTCGTCGATGGTTTGGACTCTCATGACCTACTAGAAAAATATCTCTGTCTCTCTCTCAAGTAAGTCTCGACATCACAGTACCTAGGGTTTGGATTTTGGCCTTGTAAATCAGAAATTGAGGCTTATTATATCAATTTGGATTTGAATCTATAAAACAAAAATTGGGTTTGAATTTGTATATATCAGTTTGGATCAAAATTTGTGAATCAGAATTGGGGTCAATTTGTAGTCTGGATTTGAATTTGTGAATGAGAAATTAAGGTCGGTTTGTATATCAGTTTGCAACTTGATGTGAATGAGAAATTGGGGTCAGTTTGTAGTTTGGATTTCAATTTGTGAATAAGAAATTGAGGTCAGTTTGTATATCAGTTTATGAAAAGTTTGCTCTTATCTTTCTCCCTTTGAACTTTGGCCATAATATTCTTAAAAATACTATGAAAATAAAACTATAGATCAAATTTATTTTAGGTGTGGCCTACATTATATCAAATTTGAATTTAGTTGTTGTTGTTGGAGATGATCATACTAAATTTGAATATAGTTGTTGTTGTTGGAGATTTTAATTGATTACACATTGATGAGCATTTGTATGACATATGTGCTTGAGCCATTTCATGTTTATGTGTTGAATCCAGCTCTTGTTCTCTGTATGTGTCCTATTCCACCATAAAAGGTGATCTGACCACTAATTTTAGTGCATACAAAACACACATGATATCCATCGTCATTGGCAGTGGCCATTCCATATAGTTTTGTATGAGTCGCTATTATATATTTTTATTTCAAATGAGGAAGACTCAGAGGAAATTAAAATGGCTTTGGTATTGGTTATGTAGAAAAAAAAAAGGCTTATTCCTCTACTAACCATAACAACATTAGATTGAAACCAAGAATGTATGACTGTGGGAGAATAGTTGCCATGTATATTGTACGAACCAACACTATAACATATAAGAGTTTTTGAGACCAAATGTTTTGGTCTCTAAAAGTGAAAATTTTGTTGCAAAAGACATTTAGGAACCAATTTCTATTGTCATGAGGATAGTCGCTAAAATGTCAACAAGGCTTTTAGCAACAAAATTTTGAAAATGTCACTGATAAATAGACTTTTAGGGACAAAATAATTTGGTCCCAAAAGCATAATAATTCATCACTAATGTCTAATTTTCGTTGCTAAAAATATAATATCGACACTTTTCGCAACAAAAATATTTGGTCCCTAAAAAATAATTTTGTCCCTAAATTTTAGTCTCTAAAGCCTTAATTTTTTGTAGTGCAATGAGAATGGAAATCAATGGCGTTTGTTCTTTGTTTGCCCAACAAAATATGTAAGTACCAAGCTTTATTGTATGTCAGTATCTATTATAGAAATTAATCCTTTAGTTTTTGAAAATTTATTTGTGTCGTTTGACTAACTCATTTTCATGCATTGTAGAGTAATAAGGCACATTGGACCTCGTAAAACTATAACAATTGAAGAATTTAACCAGCTAAGGACAATACTTTCTGAGATGGAAAATGAATTTCATGACCATGATAGAAGGCTTTAAAGGATGGAAAAGAAATTGATGGCAATGATTTATGTTATTATATTTTATACCATTTTCTACTTTATGATGTAAATTAGTGACTTGTTAGTTTTCTTCTATTTTGTATCATTTTCTACTTTATGATGTATATTAGTGACTTGTTAGTTTTCTTGTAATTTTATGGATTGTGGGTAGCTGTTGTCATCAATTGATGGAATATGGATATCTCTTTAGGTGGAAAAGAATATGTTGTTGATGTAGATGATGTATAAGATGATCTTCTTAGTTCATTTTGTTTGAGAAATTTTTTATTACAATACTAAATAATTGTGGATTGATGATCGTATACTGCCGAATTAATTTTTATACAAGGTGTGGGGACATATTTCATGAATGACAGCACGTGGCCAAGGTGACGCCGAAGTGTCAGCCGAGGTGCCACGTGGCTTGGTCCTGATACCGAGGTTATCTTGGCTAGGTCGAGGTTATCTGCGGAGATACCAGAATCCGAAATGCGCGGATAAGGGACAAGAGTCCTAGAATATGGGATGATCTTAGTCTGGATAAAGATAAAGCTCTTAGAGAGTTTATCCCTATCTAGCTGAGAGTCTAGAATGAGCATTGAGCCTGAGTCTACTGAAGTGAGGCTTCTATAGGGATCAGGTCAGTGCTGGCTATAAAAGCAATGCACCCCCGTGGGTCTCAGGTATGGGTGATATACTAAGAGTAATAAGTTCTTTCTTGTGTGTTAAGCACAATTTGCTATCTTTGAGAGATATTTGATTACTGACTTGAGCGTCAGAGTGGCCCCGGGTGGACGAACCACCACCGGATTCTTATTTTTCTGTGACAGGTTGTTCGGGCTTAATTTATTCTGCTGGTTCTCTTCAGTTGAGTTCCCCCTTTGGTTGTGTGGTCAGAAATCAACATCCACAATTTGGCGCTGTCTGTGGGAACGCAAGGAGAATAGATGGCCAACGACGGGCAAAAACAAATGATCAGGGATGACATCCCTAGTAGGAGTGGTAAACATGTCGATCCAAACATGGAGGAGGAAAACCATAACAAAGGAACATGGGATCAGAATCCCGGGGAGAAAGACGCCGGCCAAGAGGGAGACACACCGAAGAAAGCAGGCCAAGACGAGTATTACAATGAAAGCGACCTCCAGGTATGGAAAGATAGATGCCTGAGGAGGGACGACGAGATGAAGGGAATGGCAAACAAGCTGGCAGACCTATAATCGGTTGTCAACTTCATGATGCAGAACATCATCATGCAGCCACCGTTTCCATTGAAGGACACGCCGATTGTAGCGACCAAGAACGACGAAAAGAAAGGGAGCAGAAAGCAATTATGGCAGTCCCTCAACATGACAAAGTTAAGGAACGCTTACATCGGCCTTCACGGGATGTCGGGCGAGCAGAGTCAATAAGAGAAGAGTCTCAGAGGATGCCTCATACCAAGGGAACTTAAGCCAAGGAACATCGGCATGTTCAAGGGAAGAAACTTTGTTTTGACACGGTGAATGAAGAGAAGTCCAAGAGGATGCATAACGACAATGGGAGTAGCGCACCAAAAAGGCTGAAATCCATTGACAGCCGAGCTCCCGGTTGGACAAAGGAGGACTTGCAGGACTACCTCTAGAGGAAGTGACAAGATGCCGAGGTCACATCTCCGGTCAAGCCGATTGTCTAATCATCATGCATTGTCTACAACAATCAAGAAATGCCGAGGTCACATCACCCATCAAACCAAGAACGCTGTTCTCAATAGAGTTGGATAGGTTTGAGGCCCCAAAAAGGTTCCATATGTCGAGGTTCTAGAT